GCCATTCAGACAACATCGACCGCTTCTGGGTGAATCAAGAGAAAAAGCTTTAAGAAGGTTCCTTTCGTTGGAAGGAAAATTGTGTAAGAATGTGAAATTATATGACCAATACCGGGGATTCATGAAGGAATATGAACACTTAAACCACATGGAAAGAGTCCCAATTGCAGAAGTGAAGCGAGAATTGTGCAGATGCTATTACATGCCTCATCATCCAGTAATTAGAGAGCAATCCACTACAACAAAAATGAGAGTTGTGTTTGATGCATCAGCTAAATCTGAAAATAATGTTTCTTTAAATCAAGTTTTGCACAAGGGACCAAAAATTCAACAGGATGTATTTTTCATTCTCCTCAGATTCAGAACGTATCCTGTCGCCATAACTGCTGATATAGAAAAGATGTACCGCCAGATAAGAATTCATCCAGAAGATGCGGACTATCAGAGGATATTGTGGAGACCATCGCCAGAAGAGCCTGTGGTGGACTATCGACTGCTGACTGTTACCTATGGTACAACTTCGGCTCCATTTTTGGCAATGAGAACATTACAACAGTTAGCAGAAGATGAAGGCCAAAATTATCCTGAGGCTTCTAGGGTGACCTTGAATGATTTCTATGTCGATGATCTGCTAACAGGAGCTCAAACGATTGCTGAAACCAAAGAACTAATAGACCAATTAAATGACTTAATGAAAAAGGGAGGGTTTCACTTAAGAAAGTGGAATTCAAATTGCCACGAGATAGTGTCTCATGTCGAGGAAATAAACGAGGAGAGGAAAATTAACTTGGAGAAAGGAGCCATATCCAAGATTTTAGGAATTGTATGGGATCATGTGCAAGATACGTTTAGAGTTAATATAACTCTTCCTGAAGAAGTTGTTACCAAAAGAGATCTTCTCTCCAATATTGCGAGGATTTTCGATCCACTTGGTTTCCTCTCACCTACTACAGTGGCTTTGAAAATAATAATGCAGGAGTTATGGAGAAGTGGAACAGGCTGGGATGAGCATATTCCGAACGAAATCAAGGAAAGGTGGAATAATTTTAGAGCCGAATTACTAAAATTAGGGGAGTTGGGTATCCCAAGATACGTATGGGCATGTGAAGGGGATCGAGATGTTCAGCTCCACGGATTTTGTGACGCGTCAAGTGTAGCTTATTCGGCTGTGTGCTACTTAAGAACAGTCTCTCTGGATGGACAAGTCCATATATCAATGCTTGCAGCAAAAACCAGAGTTGCCCCATGTAAGTCTCTAACTCTACCTAGATTGGAATTGTGCGCGGCTCTCCTCCTGTCTCAGCTCTACAGATCTGTTATTGATTCATTGAAGATTGATATTGGCAGGGCATATTTGTGGTCAGACTCTCAGATCTCATTGAGTTGGATCAAATCAGATCCTAGCAGATGGAAGACCTTTATACACAATAGAGTTGTGAAAATACAACAACTGTCTGACAGAAACTCATGGCGTCATGTGTCTGGGAAGGATAATCCCGCCGATTGTGCCTCTAGGGGAATAATGCCTGCTGCGTTATCTGGACATACACTGTGGTGGCAAGGACCGACTTGGTTGAAAGATAACAACTTTGTTCAGAATCAGGATAATTGCTATGGCCGAGAATGCCATGAGGAAGAAAAAGTAGCCTTAGCTTGCCAGTCCCGAGTTTCAGTCTGTCCAGAGGTTGTAACAAAATATTCCACTTTTAACAAGACGAGGCGAATCATAGCCTGGTGTTTGAGATTCATCACTAATTGTCGGGTGTCGCTGAAGAAAAGAGAAATTGGAACATTATCAAAGAAGGAATTAGAAAATGCAGTGATTAGGATTATTGGATGGATTCAGGAGGACGAATTCGGAGAAGAAATGCAGGATCTAAGAAATACGGGACATGCTTCAAGAAAAAGTAGAATTTTGCAGCTTAATCCTTTTATAGATGCAACTGGGATGTTAAGAGTAGGTGGAAGGATTCAGTTCGCGAATGTAGGCCCTGATCAAAAATTCCCACTGTTATTACCGAAAAATCATCACTTTACCAAATTAATAATACTTCATTTTCACACGAGATATTTGCATGCTGGTCCACAGCTGGTCTTATCTCTAATAAGAAATAGTTATTGGATCATGGGAGGTAGAGACATTGTAAGAAGAATCATTAAACAGTGTATAACCTGCTTCAGATTCAGGGCAAAAACTGCAGTACAAATTATGGGGAATTTGCCTGCTGATAGAGTAAATCCATCAAGACCGTTTGACAAGACTGGAGTCGATTTGGCAGGACCTTACGAACTAAAACCAAGTCTGACTAGATCGAAGGGGACGATCAAATGCTATGTGATTCTCTTTGTGTGTTTTTCGGTCAAGGCAATTCATTTGGAAATGGTAACTAGTCTCTCGACCAGTTCATTCATTGCAGCTCTCAGGAGGTTTATATCTCGTAGAGGAAAACCATCAAAAATTTACTCAGACAATGGAACGAACTTCAAAGGAACCGAAAGCTTCATGAAGAAACAATATAAAATTATGAATTCAAAGGAAACTAAAGACTTTTTAGCAGAAGAGTTTATAGAGTGGCAGTTCATTCCTCCATCAGCTCCACACTTTGGAGGACTTTGGGAGGCAAACATCAAATGCTTAAAGGGTCATCTGAGCAAGGTAATAAAGTCATCACTTTTAAATAGTGAGGAATTCATCACACTACTCTGTCAAGTTGAGGCTTGCCTTAATTCAAGACCGTTAGTAGAGTTAAGTCCCGACCCTAACGATCTTCGAGCTTTGACTCCGGGACATTTCTTGATTGGCTCCCCTCTGATTGAGGACCCAGGATTGCAAAATTATGAGCAAGGAGATTTGCGGTCAAGATGGAATCTGGTACAAAGTCTGAGGAACTCGTTCTGGTCAAGATGGACAAGAGAGTACATCAACTCTTTGCAACAGAGAAATAAATGGAGGTTGTCACAAGACAATTTGAAGCCTAATCAGTTAGTGCTGATAAAAGAAGATAACCTTCCACCTCTAAAGTGGCGTCTAGCCAGGATCCTCGAGGTATATCCGGGCTCTGACCAGAAGGTGCGAGTTGCCCAAGTTCGGGCTGCTACCGGAGTCTACCTACGACCTATTACGAAGTTGGCTCCGCTTCCCTTCAAATCTGAACCAGGGTTCAGCGGCCGGGGGGAGTATGTTCCAGCCTTACATATGCAAAATTGTTGAAATTTACTTTTGTAATTATTGTTAAATTATGTAAATTTTAGACATGTATATAATCTTGATTTTTAGAAAATAAAAGCAGTTATTAAGGCATACGTAGTTGAATCATTAGTGTTGGTGAGACGAGACATTAGCAATCATGCAAGTTTAAGTGAGTTATAGTTAGCTCGCTGAGTTAAGAAGCTTACAATTAAAACCAGCGTTAAAATAAGAACTTGGCAGTGATTCCTCCTTAGTGCCAGGAGGCCAAAGCCAGTTCGATTCAAAATTATAATGCTAAAAATTATATATGATATTTTTAATTAAACGCCTTATTTTTAGATTTAGAAGATTAATTATTCTGTAGTTATATAATACCTAGTAAAAAGTTGTTCTACTGTTTGTTAAAAAACAACAGCGCCGGTCCGGATTTTTGCTTCCACAAATTTTACGGTCCGAGGGCCAACAAGGCCGAGAATGTCGTCCTAGAACACTCCGCTACGGAGAAATTCCATCATTATGGAACCAAATACTGAACTTGCTTATTTCCTTAATGTTTGAAAAATTATTTAAAGGAGAAGTAGAATCAGAGAAGAACCAATCGGCGAACGAAAGCAAAACAGAAGCAATATATCCATCTAAACCGATTAAAGAGTATGCTATATATGGAATTATGGTCAAATTACAGATCTAGTTTAAAAAAAGGGATGTAGATACTAAGATCGGTGATCTACCAACAAATTGCCTAGTTTGGAAATAGGATACAACAGATATCAGGGGTTTTATTCAAATACCTATAGGAGTTACAATAATTCATTTTCAGCTCTTCAAAGCATTGAGGCGAGAAGTGTGTTGTATCATGATGATAATAAAAAGTGTTATATTCACATAGATATAAAATATAATAAACTAGCCGAATGACCCGGGCAACGCCCGGGTTTTACCCGATTAAATGCTTTTATTCAAATACTATTCGTTACAATTATAAATTAGCGCCGTGGATGTCATTATTGAATTCTCTAGACGAATGACCCGGCTTCGCCCGAGAATTACCCCGAGTGCAATTTCCTTCATACTGAAAGTAAATCAATAATAAATAGTAGAAGTGCCATAGAATAGCAACACAGAAGTAACACATAAACCACAGGCAAAAAGTCTGTGTGATGGCAAAAATTGTATTATATTAGTGTTTAGGTATTTGATTTAATTATTTTTTGCAATGCATTTAGTTGTTTCAAAATCAATATAGTTTAAATAGATGGCAGCTTTTCCACCCAACCCCCGAGGTACCCGCCCCAGCGCACTAACCCTTGAAATTGCCTGAGTTGAGTGAGTGACTACGATGAATCTTGACTGCGATGCCCATCTTCTCAGTAAAAATAAGAAAAAATAGGTTTATAAAAAATATTAATCCAAAATAATGGCATGTAAATATTTTTCTGTAAAAAATAAAAAGCACATGGAAATTAGGCAGACATATGTGTTTTCTAGTGACTGCGACTGCATTTTAGACGATTTAAAAAAAGATAGATAAAAAACAAAGGCCAGAAAAAAATAATAAAAATAAGAAAGTGATTATTTACATACAGTAACGCTAAATTTGTAAAGTTTTTTTTTTTTTGCGTTGTGTGCACTAACTTGACACGTGACTTAACGTGACAGAATTGATGACTCTGATACTTGTATATATGATTATGTTAGCATAATGAATTAGTCAGTATTTCCATGGTCTCCAGCGAAGAGGTGTGAATTGACTTTTTGAAAATATACATAATTATAAAGATAGAAGCTTCTATAGAAATAACTAAAATAAGCCGAAATAGTTCGGTTTGGAGAGCGTTAGACTGAAGATCTAAAGGTCCCTGGTTCAATCTTTTTATCCGTTTCGACAAAAATCTTTTGTCCTCGTCAAGAGCAAACAAAAATTAAACATTCAGCAAGGCGTTAAAAATCTTTCTCTCTCTCCTTAAGATTTTTAACGCCTTGCTGAATGTTTAATTTTTGTTTGCTCCTGACGAGGACAAAAGATTTTTGTCGAAACGTCGAGGTAATAAAAAAGATTTACTGGCCGAAGTATCTTCATTTTCAAGAAATAAGTTTGATTGTTTTCGATAACAATCAGATATGGGAGTAGCACAGCCTTGTGTTCTGGTCCTCAACAATCTGTATTGAGTTTCTTTAATCCCTTTAGCTGAAAACAGGTTTTTGATTTCAACACATCTATAAAGACAGTTAGCATCTTAAATATTATTGATTTCAATAATATATTTATTTATAGATAGTAATATCATTTTATTTGCGATCGAACGTTGTAGCCCACTATACGCACTATATTCCAAACACGATGCGACGCAAGCCATCTTGAGCTCGATGTATCATCTCGGCGAACGTTAAGCCAGTGATTTTTATACATATAGATCTCTATTTGAATTGTCTAGAAATCTCGCACAATTCAAGGTACTTTCCAAACCCCTCACTATATAATTTAAAATAGTTATCCAAATCTTTGTTTGCGTGTAATATTTGATTAATTTTTATGTGTGTTTCAGCATTTTCTGCCTAATTCCTTTTTGTAAATAGTTTTTATTTTTATGATTTTTATTGGCATTTTCGAGTCAAAATTCAACAAACATTCATTAATTTTTTTTTAATTTTTAACATACGATTTTTCAAAATTGAATTTTTAGTGGCCTCATCCTATGAAGAATAAGGCTCATCAAATTTACCGAGGTGGTGGTGTAGGAAGAAACAAAGGTGATTCTACCTGCGTTAGAAGGATACCTGTAGATCAGTTTGCGGGAGACCGCACGTTTGGACCAGGGTTTCTACTCCGGCAGGCGTGGGAGGGGGCCTGTCCGGGGGAGGGGTGTGTCAGCTCCTCTCACACCACCACCTGAGACGAGGCATCTACTTTCCAAAAAGAATTGAGCTGACGATATCTCTACAGATGTTGAAGCCACAGTTCTACTCCAATATACGCCCCGAGTCGTCCCAAAGAGCATCTGAAAGAATTGGCCAAATTTTGCCGCTGTGGTATTGCCCTGATTAATAACTTGAATCTCCTCACCTACTGCCTCTGAAATAGCTCCCAAATCTTTCAGTCATGGTGTCAGCCTGATTAATTATTCAGCTATATAATGAACAATATCAGAAACTGGTGCTCAAATATTTCAGTCGTGCCAATATCAAATTCTCGAGTATGGGCAACGTATGGCTTCTAAACCTAGCGTACAATACTTGCAACCATGAAGATTTCCTGATCCATTTATTTCTTTAACATTCGCAACGTGCTGTTAAATTTACCTGCGAGATCTAATTGCTATGGTGCAGATTTCGATTAATTTTTAAGCCTTTGCAATGTGAACTCTGAAACCAGAATCCAAATTTCTCATCCATTGTGTGCCTTTATACATTCCTTCAAAATATGAAACGTTCTGCAGCTATTAATATATACGATGGCCAGATTTTGAAGCTTTGGTGCCATCCTTTTCTTTTTCTACAGCTTTCTCAAAATGCACCTTCTAAAATTACTCACCAGATCTTCTAACCGTGGTTCTCACTCTACAATAAAATTGTCTTAGATTATTACAAAGTGTGCGGCCTCTAAAATTAAAAGCCAGATTTTAAAGTTGTACTTTCGCCTTGATAATATTTTTAAATACTCACAAATTAAGGTCTCTAAAATATTCTACCAGATCTAACATCCTTGGTGCCACCTTGATGCATTTGTTTAGCATTGCAAAAAAGGGTTTCTAAATTCAGCTCTAAAAATTTCAGCTGTGGTGCCATATGGTTTAATTTTATGAATTTTTTTAAAGTGAGGTCTCTAAAACCAGCATATAAATCTTGCTACCGTGGCTCTGCAATGATCAATTCCTTGACTTACCAAACTTGCTTCTTTTAAGTTCAACTACCAGATATTTTATTTGTGATGCCAAGATTATCAATACATTTAACCATTGCAACATGCTTCATCCAAATACAATCTTCATATCTAGCCACCCTGATCAAATCCATGAAATTTCTAAATTCTCCGACTCCAAATCCAGCCATCAGAACTTGTCGCCATGGTACCAGCCTGTACAAGCATTTTACCTTTGCAATGTTCAATCTTTCAAACAGTTGGCCATATCTGCCATCGCGGTGCAATTCTGATTGCTTCTGTTACAATAATAAACGTGATGCCTCTAAATCTAGCGGCCAATTCTTGCAACTATAGTACAGTCCTAATTCGTTAGCCGTCGCAAATTGTGTCCTCTACAACAAATGACCTTATCTCGCAGCCTTGATAGAGCATTGATTAATTCCTTGAGAAGTCGCATTGTGCTTCTTTTAAATTAATAGCCAGATCTTGCAGCAGTGGTGAACACTTGATCAACCCTAGTGTTCTTTCAAAATGAGGCATCTAAAACCAACATCTAAATTTTGAAGTCATAAATCTTGCCTGATGATATCCTTAAGCCTATGCAACATGCGCCCTCTATAACACTGCCAGCCAGATCTTCTATCCGAGGAACCACCCTGATCAATTTCTTGAGTCATCGATATCCCAGCCTCTGAACCAGTAGACAGATCTTTCAGTGATGGTTCCACCTAATAATTTCCTCGGTATATTTCGCAACATACAGCCTATAAAATTAGTTGCCAGATTTTTTTAACTGTGATGTCTCATTTTCATTTCCCTGAGCCTTCACAACCTATATTCTACTAAATTCAACCGCTAGATCTTCCAGTCACATGCACACCCATCTGGTGATAATCTGATTATTACATTGAGCCTTTGAAAATGCTCTATCTAACACCACCCCCCATATCTTACAGACATGGTGACATTTTGTGCAATTCTTCGAGCTTTTACAATATACAGTCTAAAAAATAAAGATCATATTTTGTTTCTTAATCTTTGGTTCGATCAATTCCTTGGGTATTGTGAAGTGATCATTAATACGAATGCTATTCAGGATATTCAGAAAAACTCGGGATTCATTCTTACCCCTTTTTATATATGCTATAGTTTTTTTTTCATTGTACCCAGACCTTTTTCAAAGAGACAAGGGTCGCCTCCCGTCAAAATAGACGTCAAATACAGACGCCATCTATTGACCGTCGCCGCAAACTAGCGGCCTCGGGTCGGTGACAAAGCCACAACACCAGCTTTGGCAAACTGAAAAGCGTCCACCTAGAAACCATGGTTTCGGGCTAATGGCCCTCGTCAGCCTAGGGCGGACTTTATTCCATGAGATCCACACGGGATCTAATGGAAACTTGACAATCTGCCAAAGAGGTTTATAGCTGGCAAAGTGGCTGGGCCAAATGGAATAAAGTCCGCCCTAGGGTGACGAGAGCCATTAGCCCGAAACCATGGTCTCTAGGTGGACGCTTTTCAGTTTGCCAAAGCTGGTGTTGTGGCTTTGTCACCGACCCGAGGCCGCTAGCTTGCGGTGACGGTCAATAGATAGGGTCTGTATTTGACGTCTATTTTGACGGGAGGGGCGACCCTTGTCTCTTTAGATAATATCCTTCCGGCAAAATTTCCAGACGTTATTTGTATTCTTTTTCTGGTCAGGATGGTAAAGAAAATAGTACGTGCGAGTTAATAAAGGATGGTTGCTTGGTCTTTATTAGAGTTGTGTGAAATGTAAAGAAGACAATAAGTGGATCTTTCTTGAACCTCTGCCGTCAGAAGGATACTTGGTGCCGTGGATATCACTCTTGCGATGCGTCGCACTTCACACTGTATACATCCAGCTTAGGCAGAACCGACTTGTAGACTGCTCCGCTGCTGAACATCACACTCCTTTCAGTGTCCACAGAGCAATCCTCTTCGTACAATCAGTCCTCAACTCGGCCTGGCCAAGTTCAAGCTGAGGTATAGTGTTGGCAAGACTTTACATGGAGTACCACTGTTCAGCTACAGATAACGGATGTTCTCTATTGGAAAGTAGCAAATGATACAGGATATAAAACAGCAGTGGCTGCCATTAGTGACATATGATGGAAGTAAAGGATATCAGAATATTGCTTGAAAATAAAATTGTATATTTACCTGTAGATAGTCTATTAATTGTCCTATTACTGCGATGGGTGTAAAGATGGAAACTGCCAGTTTAATTACTCAGGTGCTTTTTGATAACGTGTGATGAAGAAAAATAATAGGAAATCTAGACAATGCAGGATTGATAGGTCTAGAACCAATACAAATAGTCAAGGGGAGACTGATCTTAATAAATGTATAATAAGACGAAAATGTTCAAAACATTTACAAAAGATAAAAAGGCATTTCCCGAGCGTGCAACTAAAGTTGCTGATGGCTTGCGACATCTACCGGAATAAATATCAACTAATCGTTGATTTTTAATTATTCCAGAACTATCCAAATATTGTTTCTTGATTACCTTTTTTCTTAATTTATCCACCTGATTCAAGTCATTCACTTTTGTACTATTTTTAAAATAATTTGACAAAAATCAATTGATAAGGCAATAGCAATCAAAAGATTGATTTGACAAAATCGCCTCCAAGGCCCACCACTGATGATATTGGATACATATTTTAAAGAAGAAATCTCTTTCTATAATTTGAGAAGATAGCCAGTGAAAATACAAATTAAAGAAGTAATGAGCGTTGAAAGGTGGTTTTTCAAGAATAATGGACAGTCACTTAAGAGTTTTTAAAATGTTCTTTCAGTGAGTGGCAAAATGTTTAGGCCTACTTCTGCACAACCACCTAACCTTGCTGAAGATGCGTAGCATCTCGCTTCGATTGTACCGAAACTTTAAAACTGCCGACGCCAACAAGAAATATCTATGAAAGCTTTTCATGAAAAATAGACGTAGGAGGCGGGAACTCTCTGTTGCATATCAGGATGTGTTAAAAGTCAATAACGCACCT